CCTACATCCTGAAGATTTAACCTAGTAATGTTTGCATGTGCAGATATTCTATTTCCTTGGCCATTAATTGTAACAATAAGAGAAGCATCTATTCTAATTGTCCCAGCTACGGTATTTGACGATTCTATATGGAACTCGGCATTGAGTACAGCATTAATTAAGGCTGTTCCTTAAATAAATTTTTTTTAATTGCAGGAATACTAATTTTTAAATTACCCCCATTCGCTCCACTAAGCTGCACTGATGGCGCTCGTTCTGTGCTTATGATTATATAAACACGTTGATTTGGGAATTTCTCTCGAACAGACTTAAGTTGAAAAAATTAGTAAGATTTTAATATTTTTCTAATTTGTAAAATTTTTTGAGTTTGTAAAAAATTTCAAGTTTGTAAAATTTTTCAAGTTTGTAAAATTTTTCAAGTTTGTAAAATTTTTCAAGTTTGTAAAATTTTTCAAGTTTGTTAAATTTTCAAGTTTGTAAAATTTTTCAAGTTTGTAAAACTTTTAAGTTTGTAAAATTTTTAAGTTTGTAAAATTTCATGAAAAATTCTGATTTGTGATTTTTTAATGTTTTATGTATAAAAATTACAGGTAAAATATCTCCCAAACAAATGCCCAAGCTTGACAAATCACTAGCATCTTGTCTCTTTAAACGCTTTAAAGACTTTAACTTCTTTGCTGCGACCTTCTTCTTTACTTCAACATTTATTGCAGGTGAAGCAGTTGATGCCCCTTCGCCTTCCTCAGTTTCAACTCCATGGTCTTCTAATTCTGTATCACCCCCCTCATCTTCACTTTCCCCACAAGTTGTTTTCAATAAATCGCCAAATTTGGGAGTTTCTGGGCCTACTCGAATTCGAATAAAGCCGGTACTTGATTAAATAAATAAAAATAAAATTCTGATTTATTCTGATTTTTATTTCTAACTTTTCTGCCTGTTTCTGATTTTATTTCTGATTTTTATTCTGATTTTTAATTCTGATTTTTTATTTAATAAATTTACTTGTGTAAGTGATAAAGTAACGAATTTATTGAATAATCGCTAATTAAAGCTTCCACCATTTTACAATTCACACAAGGGGGAAATTGCATTGGAAAAGGCCCAAAAGGCGTACAACCTCGCCCACAAACACTAAATCCGCCTAAAATAGTTCCAATTAAAATTGTAAATTTAATTTAATTAAAAGAAGCACCATTGACTTCTATTGTGAAATCTCTTGTTGTAGCATAAGTTTGTAAAAGTTGGATATTTAAAAATATGTTGTTAAGTTTGCGCTTAAAATGTTTTTATTTAAAAAGGTAAAGTCTGGATTTCAGGCTTAATTAATTTCAATTGTATTTTCAAGTTTATTTATAGAAAATTAAGTTCAAGCTTGCAAAAATTCTGATTTCAAGTTTATTTTTAGAAATAAATTTTATTTTAATAAAATTTTTTTTTTAATTTTATTTTCCATCATTCTTATTTCAATTAAATTCTGGTTTATTTATATGTATTCTGATTCAAGTTTTAATTTCTGAAATTCTGATTTAAAGTTTATTTATTAATTCAAGTTTATTTTCCAAAATTCTGATTCAATCCAAGTTTGTAAAATTCTGATCTTAAGTTTATGAACTTAGGTTTCAAGTTTTTAAAATTCTGGTTTTAAGGTTTATTAAGTAATTCAAGTTTATTTTCCAGAATTCTGACTTTAATCGAAGTTTTCTAAAATTCTGATTTTTAGTTTATGAACTTATGTTTTAATTTTTCTAAAATTCTGATTTTAATTTGATTTAAACCAACCAAATCCATTGACTGTAATATCGTAGTTAAAAACGCTAACGGATTTTCTTCTCCAACAGTGTTTGTACAATTTTCGCAATTATTTTCTCCTGGATCTAAAAATGTTAGTCTCCCAGATTCTGAAGGAGTAGCACGGTCATCTCGAGTTTTTGCCATTTCAAACTGGTGGTTAACGTTTCGAACGGGTCTCTGTGCGCGGGGAGGGATTGGTGCAGATATTGTTGGTGGATTCTTTGAAAGGATTTTTTAATAAAAATTTTTGAGGATATTTTCGAAGGTTCCGTCCACCCTACTTTTGATTGCTCCCTAAATCTTAACTTTGTATGTTCCCTTCACCCTACATCTGAATGTTCCCTTCACCCTACATTTGAATGTTCCCTTCACCCTACATCTGAATGTTCCCTTCACCCTACATTTGAATGTTCCCTTCACCCTACATCTGAATGTTCCCTTCACCCTACATTTGAATGTTCCCTTCACCCTACATTTGAATGTTCCCTTCACCCTACATTTGAATGTTCCCTTCACCTACTCGTAAATGCCCTTTCCAACATTGACCCTACATAATTTTGAGTGTTTATCCACTTTATTCTAGTGTTTCAGAGATAAGATTATTTTGAACATTAATTTTAAAATTACAATTCTAGTCCTTCCAGTATTCATAGTCCCAGCAACGTTAATTGAAACAACTCTTGGAAGAGTTCCCCTCCCAATATGCTGCGGTCTAATAGGTTGTACTGCATGAGGAGGATGATTTGAAGGTCTAGATAATATTTGCCCATTCGAGTTTCCATTTATTGCTGTTCCACTGATCAATTTTAGTGAAGGATCATCATTGTTTTTAATAACTCTTCCTCCATTTTTTGTTGGAACTAATTTATCATGTGATGAATGGGGAGGTAATACAAGCACTGTTGAGTTGGAAGATGATCCTGCTGCATGGGCAGCTGCCAACTTTCGTTTCTTGCATGAAGCGGGGCAGGCTCTTTTAGTCTTTAAAGAAGAGGGAAATTTGTGATTTTTGAAATGATTATGAAAAAAGTGGCATTTTTAATTTTGATATTATGAAAAACATTTTAACTTATAAGAGAATTCCCCTTCCAATTTTCAAATCTTTAAAAAAATTTATTGTTCCCTTCACCCTACTTTTGAATGTTCCCTTCACCCTACTTATGAATGTTCCCTTCACCCTACTTTTGAATGTTCCCTACACCCTACTTATGAATGTTCCCTTCACGCCACTTTTGAATGTTCCCTTCACCCTACTTATGAATGTTCCCTTCACCCTACTTATGAATGTTCCCTTCACCCTACTTTTGAATGTTCCCTTCACGCCACTTTTGAATGTTCCCTTCACCCTACTTATGAATGTTCCCTTCACCCTACTTTTGAATGTTCCCTACACCCTACTTATGAATGTTCCCTTCACCCTACTTTTGAATGTTCCCTTCACCCTACTTTTGAATGTTCCCTTCACCCTACTTTTGAATGTTCCCTTCACCCTACTTTTGAATGTTCCCTTCACCCTACTTTTGAATGTTCCCTTCACCCTACTTTTGAATGTTCCTTCACCCTACTTTTGAATGTTCCCTTCACCCTACTTTTGAATGTTCCCTTCACCCTACTTCATAACAACTTACAGGGTTTCCACCCAATAAATTCTCTAAACCAAAAGCATTTAGGGCAATTTGCAGCAATGATGAGAGAGGAATCAGTCTTGGAACTAATTGCGATATTTTTGAGTTGACTTCAGAATCAATTATTCCTGGCAATCTTTGGCAAAGCTGGCCGGGAATTTGTTGTCTAACCATTTCGCTAATTTTTCCCTTAAATTTAAAGTATTTCAATTAAAAATCAGTTCATTTTAAACAAATTACCCTAAAATGAGCGTTAGCAATATCACCAACTAGACCCCCATTCTGTATAAATACATCTACAAATCCTACACTAGCAGCGCCTTTTTTGTTTAACAATCAGTTAAAATAATTTTTCTAAACTTACAGCTAACCATTCGAATCACAGGGCCTCCATCAGGACCCGCAGCTATAGTTACACCTACACGTACACTAACCTTAATTTTAAATTTTAAAAAGAAGACTATTTGTTTTTACCTGGTGAGCATTTACTTGTACAATTCCAAATAAGGCTATAGGTATAAGTATAACTATTTGACCTCCGAGATTTCCTGTTACCCTAATATTTTTTAATTTAAATTAAAATTAAAAATAATGAAAATACCCTATATCAAGATTATGTACATCCAGCACTATTTGATTTGGAGGAGCTGGATAAACTAGTACCCCTAAAAATAGGCAAGAAAGTGTCAAGTTTGTAAAATTTTACAAAACTCACTTTCTGGACATCTAAAACGCGATACATACAAATTGTAAACATTAATACACCCATTAAGCTAGAAAGGGAATTAGCGTACTTAAGTTTTAAAGTTTTAAGTTTGTGCTTAAAAGTTTTGAATAAAACAAGAAGAAAAGTAATACCAGAATATTAAATTACAAACTTGAAAATATTAAAACCAGAAATTCAAGTTTATTTAAATAATTGTATATAAGGTTTTACAAATCAGAATTAAATCAAGTTTAGTATTAAATCAGAATTTGTAAAAAAAATTCTGATTTAAAGATTAATTTAAGTAATTATTAGTCGAGATTTACAATCAGAATTTTACAATTATTAAATCAGAATTACAACAACTTGAAAACCTGATAATATCAGAATATTAATTTACAAATCAGAATTATAAGTTACACACTTAAAAATATTTAATCAGAATTTGTAAAAATTATTCTTATTTTAAGTTTATTTTTCATAATTTTGAAATTAAGTTTTACAAACAGAACTAGTAATAATCAGAATCATATTAAATTTTTAAAAATAAATTGAAATCAGAATTTAAGGTAATTCTGATCCAAGTTTATTTTTAAATATTATTAAGTCGTTATTCAATCAGAACTTTACAATTATTAAATCAGAATTACAATAAACTTAAAACTTGGGTATCATCAGAATATTAATTTACAAACTTAAAAACTTATTTTCAAGCTTAGCAAACTTAAAACTTTCAAATGAATATTCTGATCAGAATTTAGAAATTAATTTTACCTGTGGAATGCATTGCTGAATATTTGGAAGTCTTGTCCTTTTAATGTAATAATCTGATAAAAATAATTAATTCAAAAATAATCTTCATTTTAATCTGATCCCACTTAAAATGCCTGCCGCAATTGTTGATAAATATTGGAATGCTCTCTGGTTTAATCTTTGTCGCCAAACATTGGCGACTTTTGGCCAATTTTTTACCCGATCATTTTTGGTTAATTTTTTCCTTGTTCACTGTTCATTTCTTGTCGTCCACTCTCCTTTTTTCAAACTTATTTGCCCGCCTAAATTCCTTTCATTTATTTTTGTGTCCGTTCGTACCAGCCACCCTCTGTTCTCTTACTTATTTTTTCCTATTGTTTTTGGACTTGGCTTCTCTGGCCGAGTCTTCTCTTCTGTTTATTTTTCTCTAGCTACTTCGCGCAATTTTTCAAACTTACATTTTTTCATTATTTTATTGCCAGACCCCGCCCTTATTTGCGCCTATTTAAGAGGTAGATCAGCCACCCAAATATCCTCATTCTTCTTCAACTTCAACAACCTTCAACTTAAATCGCGTGTGGCTGATCTGCTTCGCTGGCCCCTTGCTGGCCCTCAACTTGTTCGCCCTGATTGTTTATTGCTATTTGGAGAAATAAAATTGCTTTTTGTTGGACTTGTGTGTGTTTTTTTGGGTGGTTAAAGTGAACGTGCACCGTTCACTTCTGCTTTCTTGGTGAACCGCACTACGGTTCACCACTGCTATTCTTGGCTAGAGTTCACTGCCCTTCTCTTCCTTCGACTGTTGGCACTACCAACAGTCTGGTGCTAGTGCCACTATACACTAGCTGGTGCCACGACTCTTCCTCCTCCTCTCCAAACCATTTGTCGGGAACTCCCGACTCCCGACAAACTGGTGCCACGACCCTGGGAAGACGGGGACGACGACAACAACTACCACTACTACTACCACAACAATTACCACCACTTCACCACAACAACAACTACTACTGCTGAATTGAGCTGAGCAACAGCCACAGCAACAATCACCACTACAACAACTTCAACTAGTGTGTGAGCGGAGCCACCGCCACATCACTCTACAACAACCACTCTATTTTTGTGTGTGAGCTGCACTACAGCCACCACCAAAACACTACTACACCAACTACTTCAACTTTGTGTGTGAGCGGAGCGACCGACACAACAACTTCAACTACTCGTTCTCTTTTTGGTTGGCTGAGAACAGTCACTACAACAACAACTACACTTGGTGGGAGGTGAACTACACTTGGTGGGAGGTGAACTACACCCACAATAATGTCAGCAGTGATCCGCCTTCAACTGGCAACCGTGTTGGCCACACTCAAGGACAAAGGACTTGCTGTTTTGGCCGCGTTAAATGCCAACAACACAACTGTGGAAGAAGATGATCGTCTAGAAGTGGAAGCGTTCCAACTCGAACAAGCTGCTGGAAGGGCTCAAGCACTGATGGATAAATGGTCAGACTTCATTGCCCGACTCATGCCAACGGAACAACAAGACGAAATGGACATTCTTCAAGCCTTCCCGCCGTCGAGAGGCGAAGTAAGAGAGGATGATGAACTCACCGCAGTGGCGCAAATTGAGCGGAGTTTGGAACTGGTGGTCCTGGTCAACGTATGCCTGCAGCAACGAAGAAACGGCGGTCGTGGTTCAGTCTCCTCTCAACGATCTGAGAAGTCCGCTAGAGTGATTGAGGACCAAACTGGTAATGCGCGACGACAGACGCAACACCCAATAGCGAATGGTCAACATGGTTACTCACCTGAACATCCTGATGGTTTTACACGACGTCCAACTCAAACGCGCATTAATGATCACCAAGCTAGAACTGGCAATGGAACAAGTGCCCATCACACCACCTCTGTTAGCCAGGCTGGATTTTCACCATACCAACAACAAGGAACATACCATGGTACACCACTCTACTCAACCTTCAGGCCATTTCGACTAGAACCGATGAAATTTGCTGGTGACCCTAAAGAATGGACTGCCTTTTGGATGGCTTTTGACCGTGCTGTCAACAGTCAACCTCTTCCACCGTTTGAGAAACACCTATGTTTATTGCAAAGTCTGGTACCTGGCTCTGCGGCGCACCGTGCAATTGATGGTTACCCACCGTCGGATGAGAACTACCCGATGGTGGTCAGCATACTCCGACACCAATTTGGAGATGTAAAAGCCCTACGCGAAGTCTTAATTGCTGAGTTGTTACACCTGCCGTTGGCCAACAATTCACTGTTCTCTATGCGCAATCTCCATGAACATGTTGAACGAATATGCCTGCAGCTCGAATCACCAGAGGGCTCAAACTCAATTCAGGATGAAATAGTGTGTGGCATCATCCGGTCAAAGCTACCACCTGAAGCTCTGGAGACTCTGATTGGCTGGGAAGAAGACGAAAATGCTGAATGGACTCTGGCTGAACTCCGCAAGGGACTTGGACGTCTGGTTCAACTCAAAGAGCGATTGGAGCTCACCATCACCACTCTTCGTCCAAACAAGTTGGAACAACCAACCATGCTTGAGGAGCAACCTCACTACAGCCAGCCGACTGAACGAAGTGATCACCATGAGCCAGCCGACGTCTCTCGTGCATTTATGGCTACGCAATCAACTGGCCCAATTGAAGCTCAGCATGCACTACATGCTCGTCCAACGCAATCACCAAACCAGCCTGTCGAACATCATGCACTACCTGGTCGTCCACCACAATCACCAGTTGAGGAATATGGTTGTTCACTGTGCCACACTGGGCCAACACACAAGCCAAGCCGTTGTCCAATGTTCAACACACGCCAGAGACGCAAAGCTCGTCTTCTTGACCAAGGCCGATGCCTCAACTGCCTATATGATGGCCACCTGCTCAACAAGTGTCGTGCTGCCAACAAGTGCCGTAGATGTGGAGGCCGACACCACTTCATGCTATGTGTACAACGTCAAAACAAAAAGCGTGTGTACTACCCAACTGGTCAACATGTTGGACCATTTAACTCAAACTGGAGGCAACCCCAATCTGAAAAGCGTGTGTACTATCGGACTGGCCTCCACAAAGGATCATCCGAATCAAATTGGAGAGTGCCTACATCAATGCAACCTGAATTGACCTACTCTGGAATGGTCTTCACTAGCCCACTCAACGACTCTAAAGCGGACTCCAAGTCGTTAACCAGCTCAACTGTGCACAACAGAAGAACCAACCGTCAACTTCGACGCAAAGTGTGGTTAAATTCTAAGCTAAAAGCCAACCTGCTCAAATCTAAAAATGGTCAAGAGACTCCTCCAACTGACAATGGGCCTAATAGTTTCAACCGTTCCAATCGTGTTTGTTCAATATGCTCGTGGCGCATCAACAAAATCAACGCTGGCTTTACTGCCCCCTTCAAATGCTCATCTATGCATTTTCTGTTGATGCTGGCCCTTCCAATGCTTGTTGGTATTGCTAGTTGGTGTACACAGCAAGTTGCTCAAAATGCTCAACTAAAGCTTTTGCGATCAATAATGACTTCCGAGGATGGAACCTCGTCATCTGCCACTGATCAAACGTCTACGAGCTTTTCTAACGCTGGTAAATTTTTGTGTGTTACCCAAGCTGCGACTACCGCGACTGTCACGTGTAGAATTACCGCGGCTGCTACTGAAGGAATTACCGAGGCTGCTACTGAACAAATAACTAGAAGTTGTTCTACCGCTGCAAAAATAAATGTGTGTGCTAACCGAGTGGGAATTATCCAGGCTGCCGCAACCAAAACAAACAAAAATCTATTATCTGAGTGCACATTACGACGTCGACCATGGAAAAGTTGTTCATCACGACAAGGACACCCACAAGAAAGCCAGGTCGTGGAGTGCCGCCCCTCACCAAAAGCTCTCAAAAGGGGAAATCACGAAAGGGCACTCCACCACCATCATCATTGCTCTGGACCACACCATGCACCCACGCAATGTGCTGTCAACCCGTCTTCGGCACTGAAGTAGAATCGCACTGTGGCTCTCGAATATGGCAGATGAAAGATAACTAAGAATTTTTTGTGATTTTTGTCGGGCGGGGGGAGTGTCGCCAAACATTGGCGACTTTTGGCCAATTTTTTACCCGATCATTTTTGGTTAATTTTTTCCTTGTTCACTGTTCATTTCTTGTCGTCCACTCTCCTTTTTTCAAACTTATTTGCCCGCCTAAATTCCTTTCATTTATTTTTGTGTCCGTTCGTACCAGCCACCCTCTGTTCTCTTACTTATTTTTTCCTATTGTTTTTGGACTTGGCTTCTCTGGCCGAGTCTTCTCTTCTGTTTATTTTTCTCTAGCTACTTCGCGCAATTTTTCAAACTTACATTTTTTCATTATTTTATTGCCAGACCCCGCCCTTATTTGCGCCTATTTAAGAGGTAGATCAGCCACCCAAATATCCTCATTCTTCTTCAACTTCAACAACCTTCAACTTAAATCGCGTGTGGCTGATCTGCTTCGCTGGCCCCTTGCTGGCCCTCAACTTGTTCGCCCTGATTGTTTATTGCTATTTGGAGAAATAAAATTGCTTTTTGTTGGACTTGTGTGTGTTTTTTTGGGTGGTTAAAGTGAACGTGCACCGTTCACTTCTGCTTTCTTGGTGAACCGCACTACGGTTCACCACTGCTATTCTTGGCTAGAGTTCACTGCCCTTCTCTTCCTTCGACTGTTGGCACTACCAACAGTCTGGTGCTAGTGCCACTATACACTAGCTGGTGCCACGACTCTTCCTCCTCCTCTCCAAACCATTTGTCGGGAACTCCCGACTCCCGACAATCTTGCTTTGATGCCAGCACCTCCAGTAATACCCCCAGCAAGTGCAGGATCAAAATAGGAACTTTAGACAAATTTAATTAGAAATTTAAAATTTAATAACTGACGGTGGAGGACATCTTCCATCCCATGGAGCATTACAATTAACTTCACCGGTTTGTGTTTGTCGTAATACCCTTCTATAGGATGATGGCACATGATTTTGCTTAAAAATTTTATTTTTTTAATTTTTCCACGAAGAGATTTTTACAGTTTCAAGAAGGACACTTCTCCTTTGAGGGTGAACAATAAAAGAATTGCTATCGCCCTTTAGCGATCCGTGCTGATCGATCCACTGTGGTAGTTGGGGCTGCGCGAGGGAAAGAAGCAAGCAGAAGAAATATAAAAACAACTGGGGAAATAAAACATGAGAAAATAAAATTTAAATAATTCTGATTTTATTTTTACAATTATAAATTAAATTTTGCAATCAGAATTAAATTAAGTTTAATATTAAATCAAAATTTGTAAAAAATTTTGATTTGTAAAATATTCTGTTCCTAAAAATTCTGATTCAATCAGAATTTGTAAAATATGTTCTGATTTAAAATTTATTTTTTTTACAATTGTAAATCAAGTTTTAAAATCAGAATTAATAATCAGAATTATAATAAAGTTTTAAAAATAAATTAAAATCAGAATTTGTAAAATTCTGTTTTCAGGTTTATTTTAAAATAAATTCTGATTTAAAAATCTGATTTGTAAAGAAATTCTGATTTCAAGTTTATTTTTTACAAATGTAAATAAAGTTTTATAATCAGAATTAATAATCAGAATAATTATACAATTTTTGAAATTAATTGAAATCAGAATTTGTAAATAAATTCTGATTTCAAGTTTATTTAAATATAATTCTGATTTAAAAATAAAACAGAAATTATGAATAATTAGCAAATCTGACCTTTCGTTCTCGCCACCAAATTCTCTGATTAATTGAGAATGTGGGGAAATAACGTCGAGAATGCGACGTCATGTGTAGATTTTGAGTTTCTACTCAGAATAGTGCAGAAAATTTTTTTTAATAAATATAAATCATTATTAATTAAATTAAATCTGGCGAATAATTAAATTTAGTCTAGGAAATTATATTTTAAATTAATTAAATTTTTTTAATTTCTTAGGGGAAAATTATTTTTAATTTTTTATATGGGGAAATTTAAAAATAATTAAAAAAAAATTAATTAAAAAAATTTTCTTAATTAAAAAATTTTTTAAATGAAATTTCAAAAAAATATTTTTAATTAAAAAATAGTGCATTATTATTATATCCAAAATGGATTAGTAATATGTACCTATAAAAATAAATATTTGGGAAGTGAGAACAGTAGAGGTGGGACCCCCGGAATAAGATATTACCATGCGGTGGGCCCAAACCCCAGAATGATGGAATACGGGAGGGGATATGCCCGGGACTTCCTAAGAGGAACCAAAGGGTTGATCAGGCCCCCGGTCGATCTCCTGCACCAGGCATACACAATTGAACACAATTTATATATTTATTAAATCCAAATATTAAAAGCTTTATTAAAACATTATTTATTTCATTAAAGTGAATGAACAATAAGACACTTGCAAGGTGATTACAAATCCTTTTAAATGTGTGAGAAAAGTGGGAGGGAAATGAATAATAATAAAATGACTATAAACTATAGGAAACAAACTCCGAGAATACCTTTGACCCTTACACGTCCCTTTCCCATCAAGACCGTCCCTGGTCTTAATCTAGACTTAACAGACTTTATTTTATTTTTCAAAATTTAATTTTTCATCGTTTCCCAAACTACTTAAATAATGACCATTCACATTTATTTTCTCAATCGATAAGCACTCTGGTGAGATGGCGAACCTAATTTAAATTTCTTCTTTATTTATCACATTTCTTTTTGTGCTCTTCGAGCATATCTCTCCTTTTTCCTTTTTTGGACCGACCCTGGTCCATTTTTAGTGCTTATCGATTATTTCATGAGAAATTTCACTTGATATTATTAAGTAGTGGGGTTTGATATAATTGTAATTGTAAGAGTTTCAGAGTCTGTTTAGTCTAGTTGGGGTTGTATTCCTAAAATTTCTTCAGGTTTCAGGTGAGTATGTTTCCTTTTGTATTAAAATATGGGTACGAGTAAAAATGCATATAAATTTCAAAAATTAAAAATAAGGATAAATTGTGACATTGAAATGTTTGTGAAATTATAAAATAAATTAAACGGGTAACGCTTTGAATAAAAATATAAATTCATAAATCAATTGTGTGAAATAAAATTTAAAAAACCCAGAAAACTACCGAAGTGTTTGAAATGTGATAAAAAAATTGGGTACAAATGAGTAAAGTAAAACTTGTAATAGAAAATATTTAGAGAATTGGTAAAGGAATATTCTCAAAATAACGTACAAAATAAATTTGGGTATAAGTGGTTTGGTTGAAAGGTTAATAGAAAAAGTTTTAAGTATTTTGAATAAACATTTAAAATTGATGTAAAAGTTTTGACATAAATAACATTTGATTTGTGGGTATAAATGGGTATATTTTAAAAGTTTGCAAAAACAATAATTTTGAAGTTGGGAATTATATAATAGAAGAGCATAAATAGTAATTTAAAAAAAAATTTGGGATATTTTTAAATGTAATTGTGAAAGATTCTTTAAAAATTAATAGAGTAAATGTAAATAATTTGTGAGGGAGTAAATCAATTGTAAGTCCTATAAATATAATTGTAAAATTTGTAACAATTTAAATGAAATTTGACAATTTAAGAATTTAAAATGTTAAACTAATAAATGTATTAAATTTAATGAATTAGTGGGAGTTTAAGCTTAAAAGTATAATTATAAAATGTACTTAAGTGAGGGTAAAAATTTTGTAAAAAAAATGACAAAATGTAATATAAGTGGATTAATACAAATTGGCATAAAGTTTAAAAAAATTTAAGTATATATTAACAATAGGTAAGAAATATTGGGAAAACATTTTGATTGACATTTAAAATGTATAAATAAATGAACTATGATTAAAATTGAATTAATAAATTTAAATAATTTTGATTAAGTGAAGAAATTGAAATTATAGGTAAGGCATGTTATAAAAAAATTTAAGATTAATAAAACCAAAACAAATAATGGGAAAGATTTGTAAATGACATTACATTAATGAATAAGATTCAGTTTAAAATAATTAATAGGAAGTGAGAATGTGTATTTAAGTACAAAAAAAATTTAATTGATTAAAAACACAAATTTAATATTTTCCTCCTCTGCCTCTCCAACTCTCATTCTTCCTTCAAGTATTCCAATTACAATTTCGAGCAATATGTCCAGTGCGCCCACAGTTGAAACATGTATTGGTCCTGCTCCTCTCAAATGTTGTATTAGCATATTCTTTCCAGTTTCGTTGAGCTGGTCTTTTCCTGTAATTTGATAAATTAGTATTTATATTATTTTTATTAAAATTTAAGTCTTTTTCAAACCACTCATTATCTCTAGAATTCCTATCATTTCTGCTCCAATTATTAGTTGATCCAGAAGTGCGGCCGAAACCATATGAAGATGTTGAAGGCTGTTGTTGTTGTGTTGAGGGGGATACTGCTCATCCACAAAGTCACCGACCATCCGACCCGACGAAGACAACAATTGACCGAACCTATCTCGCATACAACTACCCGACTGGAGGACTTGAAGATATTCCGGACCGACAATTTGAGTGAACTCAGTTGCACAACAGATGAACCGATTCCAGATAATTCTACATCGAAGTATTTCAACGTCAGCTATAACGAGGAGAGCATGCTTAGCACGACTCACGCCACCGTGTCATCCTTGAGAAACTCCGAAGAGTCTCCAAGGCCATCAGCTCTACTCGAAGACCTAGTTGTTACACAGTATGGCCAAAACATTCCAACCCAAATCCTCAAACTCTTTTTGGAGAGACTCTTTCTGAAAAGTACATAAACAAATAACAGCCAGAGAAATCGGTGGAAATTTTGTCGTACAACGCAGAAATCAATTTAATGGCAGAAGCCGAATGTTCATCATTGCACAAAGAGTGAGAAGTGTTGTCCTGTCTACAAGTTTCAAGAATATCAAATAGCCAGAGAAAAATGCTATTGCGTTGGAATCCGCCATCGCATGACATCAGAGGACCTCCTCCAACTTCTTGGCTAGCTTTGCCAAAGGCAAATTAGCTGCAGCTACAACACCTTCACATTGTTCAAAATGGAAAGCATCAGTGCATCATAACTGAAGCTAAATGAGTCTTTCAAACGCCTGGTGGCGCCTATTGGAAAACAAACTTGCAATCATCTTCCAAGAGAAATTAGCGGTCTCCTGCTGCTTTCCGTTTAACATATTCATTAGTGGGTGAACAATGAGGACTGCCGAGGCATTTGGTTCTTCATCATCAAAATCTGTTTCAAATTCACGAGCTATTAAGGCGAGGAGGAGTTTACCTTGATTCGTACTCTGGCTGACAACATCGACGGTTAGTGTTGTTCAAAACAATCACGTCGACTCTCAAGACCTTTGAATATTAGTGGATGACAAACAATAAAACCGCCATCTTTCGCGTCTTCGAGTTCCTGCTCAACATCCCTGTTCTTCCGCTTTTGAACATTAATAACCTTAACACTTTTCCAAAAATCAAACTTTTTATTCCCGAAGGACTGAACTTGGGAAAGATTTATCTTTTTAACAACTCTCACTGCAAAATGGGCTTCAGTCACCTCAATTCCAAATAGCTTCTGTCACCTCAATTCCCAGCTCAATCTCTTCATCATCATCTTCTTCCTCTTCGTCTTTTTCTTCTTTATCCTCATTATTTTCTTCTTTCTTTTCTCCTTCATCCTCTTTACCCATTTCGTCAACCTCATTCATTTCCATTTCTTCTGGCCAATCTTCTTCAACAACTTCAATCCAATCTCTGAAGATGTTGACCCTTGGTTCTTCGTCATTTTCAATATTCCTGGGCTCTTCTTCTTCCTCATTAATAATATTTTCTTCTTCCATTTCATCTTTCTTCCATAATTCAGGATCCGGTACTTTGTTGAAGCACATCTCAAAACTATTGAAAATCTAGGAAATTTGTTTAATTAAAGGAATATTATATATTTTTTTATATATTTTTTATATTAAATTTAAATTTTAAATCCATTTGATAGCCGAAGCAATTATAAGTATTATCTGTTTTTTGGGCTTTTTCTTAAATTGTATCTACTTAGTCCCTGGCGAACTACTACTTCAACCTGACTACCTTCTGCTACTTCTGAATTTGGCTCAGCTACTTTACTTTGCGAGAATCCTGGCGTGTTAACTATTTATTCTGCACCAGATTCTTCTAACGCTTCCAACTCTTCTGCTTCTAACCTAGGAGTTGTGCAAACCGGTTCAGTCGGGAGTGGCTCTATACT